ATTCCACAACTTCCTGGCCCAAGAAAGCTGATCTGCTCTGTGTGAGCCCAGTCAGCCCGTCCTCACCAACTGGAGCCTCCAGTGCACTCAGCGGGCATTCAGTAAATATTTGTGGCATGAGTGAACGGACTCAACTGGGTCCCCAGCAGCCCAGTATGCCCCAGAACTGGCTGCCACGGGCAGACAGGCACATGGAGGTAGGACAGGGGGAGGGCGAGCCCCAACCCAAGGTGAGCCCTCCCTCCCCACCCCCCTGCAGAATCCTCCCAGCCCCCCATCCCAGAGGAGGTGGATGGTGTTTTCTGTGCTCCTCGCCGCCCAGTGGCCTGGAGGACAGGCCTGTGTCACTTTCCTCAAGGCAGTGACGGCACTCACCCTGTTTCTGCTGGGCCTTTCTATTCTCTACCCTCTTCCTCCCCACCCACTCCTGATTGACACCAATGCTGGCTCTGACATGATTTAAAAATAGATATTAAGACAAAGGAGTTTAATTTTTAATGCTTTGGAAAGGAAGTGAACAGAGGGCCAGCATTCCCTCATAGCCATGCTCCACGGGCTCAGAGCATTAGCCAGGACCTTCCTTGTGCCCATCCCCCCAGGCGGAGCCATGCCCGACGCACCAGAACATCTACTTGTAGCAGCCATGGGGAGGAGGAGGGGGGAGCCAATGACTCACATTACACCTGAGCACTTTGGGAGGCCCCTCAATGCCTCCTGCTGCCAAGCTTAGCCTGGATCTCCTATTGGGAGAGCCAAGCCTCTACCTGCCATGCCCCCTTAGTCCATTCACCGCTCCCATTCCCAGACAGAAGGCCCCCCACAGCTTCCTTAGGACACCCTAACTGTGTACAGACCCCTGTCCTGGCACCGCAGACCTCAGAGGCACACACATGCAGTCACGGCAGCACCAAACACATGCCTCACATGTGGCTGGAGAGCTTTAACCAAACTGCCTGCTCCCAGAGGGGCCGCGCCACGAAGGTCTGACCCACTTAGGCGAGGTTAATCAGGGCCCCCACCCGGCCCCCTGGCTGTGGCAGCCCTGTGCCAACCTTTCCCCTGCTCCAGCAGGCACACTGAACACTGCCTCCTTAGCTCATTGGCCTTTATTAAGGAGAACTCCACAAGGAATAGACTCTCCACTGGGGCCAGAATGTCACTGCTCCGCCAACCTTGACTTAAAGTGATGGGACAGCTCTGCTAGCAAGCATGAAAAGTGACCATTATCAGGAATGGCAATTACTGGTATGCCAGGTGCCCCACCCCCACCCCTTCATATCAGACAGCAACTTGTCTTGGGCTGGGAGAAGCTGGGCTGGGATCCGATTTGCTCTCCTGAGAAGGGTCATAGGCCCCCAGCACTGAGAGCCCATGCTATACTCTCCCTCCCCTTCTCAGAGTAAAGAGCTCTGGGCCCCCTTTGCTTCCCTGTTGGGGCTTAGATTCACTTAATCTTTACCTGGAGAGTTCCACCAAATGGCCCTGGAAGGACTCGGAGATGGGCTGACTGAGGGGAATACTGCTGGGAGAAATAACTTGGGGTGGGTTTGATTACTGGAGGGAGGGCCGGGCCCTTCAGGATGGGGAAACTTCTGTCCCAATTCGGGCTCCTATTTCCTTTCCTCCAAGAAGCCAGCATTCTCTGGGCTGTAAGAATCAGAGTGAGATATGCAGGAGAGAGGAGGTGGGCTCCGACAGGCATGACCACTGACTGTCCCCTCCTCAAACCCTGCGATCAACATGAGGCTCCCCAAAATGCTGCCCTGAGGACTAACATGGTTAGGACCATCTGGCTGAAGTTGGCAATGGCAGGAGCAACCTGTACCCCCCTACCCCCACCCCAAAGCAGGCAGGCACCCAGCAGCCTGTAAGGCACCTGCCCTTTTCTCAGTAAGGAAGAGGAATGCTGGCAGAATAGCTCTGCTCCCACCCTGTCCTCGGTCATGTCACCCAAGCCCTCACCAGTACCAACACCTAGAAGCTCCACCGACGGCAAGAGACCAGGGACTCTCACGCCTGAGAGAGGCTGCAGTGTAAGGCACTGCAGCATAAGAATCCTCCCGGCAGGCTCAGAGGAGGCAGGGGGCAGGTGGCAGCAGTGGGTTTGGAGAATCACCAGCTGGGCTCTGGGATCTAAGGAGGATCTCTGTCTATTGATCGCAGGCCTCATGTTCAACTCTAATGCCTCAGAAAAGCCTCCCTTTGGGATCTGGGCCATTGAGACTAGAAAAAGTGATGGCTACATAATTCCTGACCATTGCTCTGGGTCCCAGAGGAGTTGACTCTCACGAGCCCTGCATCCCTCCTTCCTCTACCCCGTCCCCTTCCCTCCCTGTGCACTGGAAAGAGCAGAGGTCCTGTCCCACCTGCCTGAGGCCTAAGCACTTTCTCCTCTCACCTGGCTCTCTCCTCCACTCCTTCTCCCATATCAAGCCTAGCCACCTGGCCACAGGAAGTCATCATGCAAATAGAGCTCAGTGACCGCAGCGCCCAAATCCTGGCTAACACCCTGCAGCACCTGCTCTCCCACCTCCCTAAAAGCTCTTACACACAGGCATCCAGTTCTCTTCTGCTAAGTTTTCCATTTTTTCTAAAGTCTATGTCTTATTTCATCATCGCATATGCTACTAGCATAAAAGACCTGGACCTTTGAGACTCAATTTTTCCCAGCTCATAGTATGTCATCGGAATTCTGAAACGTCAGAAAAGTGAGAGATTAGGAGAGAATCATTCCTTGCCTGGTAAGAGGGTGGTGGTCTTATTAGGAGAGACAGCAAGTCCTTTCACTGTGGACCAAGGAAGCCCTCTCCATCGACCAGCTCATTAACCTCTGCCAAGATTTTCAGGGACGATGAGAGAGTCTCCTGTCACCCCACAGCTGAGGTCCTCTGCTAGGAGAGCCTTCGTCCTGGGCAAGTCCCTACCAAGTGGGACGTGGGAATCCTGCAGCACAACTGACATGTAGATTTACTGTTCTGCCCTTCAACTCATGTTCTCACAAACATATAACAAATGCCTACAAAGTATAGACCATTGGGCTACACTTTGTGAGGAGGTCCCAAAACCAAGTTGACAGCACCCTAGAGAAAGAAGCTGCAGTAGTTATACCCACTCTGGCCAGCAGGTGGCGGGGTGGGGGTAGGGGTGGGAGGAGCAGAGAGCTACTGACCAAGAAAGACACTGAGTGAGCATCCCAGGAGGGTCTTTCTAGTAAGTGTTAGGATATGCGGAGTGGGGCAAGACAGGAAGGCAGGTTGACTGTAGGCAAGAACAAAGAGGGAAGCTGTAGACAATGAAAGGGCAGCATTCCTGTAATTCACAGGCACCAGAGTAATACACACCGGTGTTTGGCTGACACTATTGCCGGCAAGTGAGTCAGAGGAACAGGAGCACTTGCCCAATGGTGGCCACAAAATCATTCATCACATTCCAGTGGTTCTGCCCCCGTTTCCACAAAACCTCGCCAAAGGATAGGTAACACAGTGACTGGAGGGCCCCAGACCATGGAGCTATTTGGGAAAATTCAACTCAAACAACCTCAAACCAGGCCTCTCTGAAGAGAAGCAGCAGCCTGTGCATGAGGCAGGGAAGGGGGTCCCTCCCCACAGAGAAGGCAAGGATACAGGACGTCCCATACCTAAGGCAGTGAGTGCATGAGGGAGACCATCTTGGCAGCCCCTCCCCCCCCACTGGGCTGGAAAGGACACCTAGTCCTGAATGAATGAATGAATGAATGAATGATGCAATTTAGCCAAGGCCACAAAAGAAGCTAACACATAACCAAGAACCCAGACTTCTTCCAACCCAACCTGAGTTTTCCCCTCTGTGGGAAAAGTCACCCCCATCCTACACAACCAAAAAGTTTTTCCCTTTAAGCCAATCACTTCCCACAAACGTTGAATACAAAACACAACTGCTTCTACCCGGCTTGACTGTGAATGACTTTCTCCTGCCCCCAGTCCTCCTCCTGGACCTCTAGTCCCTCTAGTCGCAGGAGGACAGGCCCTGGGGCAGAGCCAAACATCTGTGTTGACTTGTCTGGGCTCTGGTGAAGAAAAGCGAAAGGCGGAAGCAGCACTTGGGATGAAGGAACAATTAGATCCGAGGTTAAGAAGTTTTCATATCTACCTAACTAGTACTTCTTATGACAAGTGTGCAAGCTGCACTCACACATCCTCCAGAATCAGAGGTTGGAGAATGTTTCCAAGCTGCCCCACCCACTGATACCACTGATACTTTCTCTAGAATGGAGCACTCCTGATTGTCTCCCTCCTCCCTTCCCCTTTTGCCCTTTGTCCCTTCTAGTCTCTGGGATTCTCAGAGCTGGGAGGGCCGGCGGTCCAAGGTGGAGCACATGGCTGTCCGCTCCCCCTGCAATCCCTCAAAAGCAGCTGCCTGCCACCCGAGGGCAGCATCCCTCCCACGCCCTCCTTCTGCACAGGAGCCCTAACTCAGAGGCATATCTGCAGTCTAGCAAGGGAGTCCCTCAGCTTCGGACAGGGGCTATTGGAGTTCACTGACAGGAGTGGGAGGATGTGAACTCCACCACTTCCCTATCCTGTGCCTATAAAACGCTGCAGACGATATTCTTGCATATTCAGGAGAAATAGAAGAAGAAACTCCGAAGACTATTTATTCACACTTGTGCCGGTCTTCCAACGCAGGGTCAGAGCTGTTAAAAATTCTGACCCCACACCTATTTCTGCAGCTTATCCCGTAAGAGGCACTTTCAGCACGGATTTCTTACAGGGGAAGGAAGTGGAGGCAAACTTTGCCAGCCTCCTAGGAGTACAGTCTCTCCTGGAGGAAAGGCAAGTTTGAAGCCTCCATTCAGCCAAGGCGAGAGAAAAGAAGAGGAAGATACATGGACGAGGGGAAATAACGATCTTAAGGAAAAACCCACTTACCGTTGTGCGGAGAGCAGAACAATGCAGCACCAAAAAGGAAGAGGGTATGGAAGAGGAGAGAAGGCAAAGGGAGGGATAAGCGCAAGGACTTACCCAGAATATCAAATTGAAGAGGAACATCATGTATTTCAAACAGCAGAGGCAGCCCCTGGCCATGTTGCACTTCTTAAATTCTAGGAGGAAAACAAAGGACAGGTCCAGGTAAAACACCACGTACTTGCTGCCTTTCGGGGCATTGTACTTGTCAGTCTTGACTCCGGTCTCCGCGCGGCTCTGGCCCCCGGAGCCCGCGGTGCCATAGAAGGCGCCGGCAGTGAAGCCGCGGCCGAATGGACGGCCCGAGGTGGACGGCTTGGCAAAGTCCGAGTCCTTGCTGTCCAAAGATGGACTCCGGTGGATCGAAGAATCCTCGCTACTCGACTTCTCCATGCTCGAGGCGTTCCCGTGGGGCGCAAGGGGCGGGGGGCATCGCTCCCGGAGAGGGACAGAGGGGACGCCCAAGTCGGGCGGGCGCAGGCTGCAGGAGGCCTGGTGGAGCCTTGCACGCCTCCTCTCTGCACCGGGGCACACTCCGGGCCGGACCCCGTTGCACAGGAGCCGCTGCCCTCCTCCCAGCCGGCTAGCCCGGGAGGGCTCTGCGGCTCGGCTTTCTGCGCGCTCGCGAATGCTCTCCGGGAACTGGCTGGCCTGCGTAACTTAGCAGGCGTCTTTAGGAAGGCTGCAATTTGACTTCTCTGTCCAGAACGTCAGCTCGCCTCCCAGTGCACTGACCACTCCACACAAGGCGCCAGGGCTCCGGGCTCCGGGTTCCCAGGGCACACGCCTCGCCCTATCCAGCCCCAGCACGGAACCCCGGCCACTTTGTGGGCGCTCCACCTCCTTTCGCTCCGCGACTTTGCGGAGCTGCTCGCCAGCCCAGGGCTGGGCGGGCTCGCCGCAAGCAGCGCGGGAGGGATCCGCCGCAGCTGCCACCGCTGGGCTTTCCCAGTGAAATCCCAGCCCCGACTCCCTCACGACTCCGAAATCGCCGGAGCCCCCTCGCCTGGCCCTCAGCCCCGCCCCCTGTTTTGCATTCAACCAATGAGAGCGAGGTCTGCCAGGGGCGGGGGAGGGGAGCCTCCCCCTCCCCAATGACACCATATCTTTAATGGGATTAACGTTCTGCTGTGTGCCTACATCCGTGCGCCTTGAACCCTCATTAAATGTCAAGGGCTCTGAAGCTGGGGGGAACCAGAACCTTCACGGAAGGCGCTGGTCTCTTGTTCCGCAGGAAAGGGGCGGCAGAAGTGGGGAAGGACTGGAGGTAGGAATGACCTAAAGAAACTGGAGGAAAGGGCCGAGGACTGGAGGGGTAAAGAAGCGCGGCCACTGTCGCCCTGGCTGCCTTCCCGATGCACACGGGCCTGCCTGCCAGACCTGGGCACATGGACTCCCAGCTACACACACACACACACACACACACACACACACACACACCACGCTTTTGCACACGTGCGTCTGGCTACAACGCTGAGAGAAGGGACCACAGGTGCTGCGTGCAGTGTGGGAAAGGCGCTTGGGGCCTCCACGGGGCTCGCCGCCCTCCCCGCCCCCTCCGCGTGCACATGCGCGCGCCCGCGCGCGGGCCCTGGAGGCTCCGGAGGCTCCGGCAGCTGCGCGAGTGCCCCTCCCCCGCCCCACGTTGCGGGTGGGACGCTGCGCCGGCTGGGACCCTCGCCAGCCGGAGGAGAGGTGGCCGAGGTGGGGTCCTGCCGGTGCCAAGGATGATGTAGGAGTGCTCTAGGATGCAGGCTGGAGCCTCTCCCATGAAGAGTGCACGTACGGGACTGAAAAGGGAAACCGCAGGAAGAAGGCTCTGGCTAAGGGCTTGGGAACGTGCAGAGGCGCCTTCATCCTACCGGGGAAACACTGCGCTGGGGCAGCGTCCTCTGGGCTTAGGCAGAATTCTGCACTGCTGACCTGGGCTGCCAGTTGGCAAACCAAGAAGACTAAAAACTTTGGGGTATGAGGAGCCCACTTCTCTCTTTTGCCACCAGCAAGAGAGTGCTGAGAGCACCTTAGGGCAGGACCAAGTCCTAGGAGGCTTAATATACCCAGCACCTAACACCAAGCTTAGGGGGAGGTTTGCGCCTCAATAGGGGGAGCTACACTGGGATGGTTGGATGGGGAATTCACGCTCCCCCATGGGATGTGAGTGTGAAATGGCCTCCCCGGATCCCATCAAACACCTACTTTATATCTGCTTCAATGTGCTGAGTTCAGGGCAAGGCCCCTGAGGAAACTGATGTAGGTGTGCTGCCCCCTGCACTTACACACACAATCTAGTAGTCAGAAAGACAGGACGTTCACACCAAGGCCACTGGCTGTGGCCCAAGGGAGGGGGGACATTGACTCAGACCAGAGAGGCTTCAAACCCTATCACATGCTTGCTGCGGTGGCCCTGCTCCATCCAGCCTGCACCCTCCCTGGCTCCTGGCAGGTCTACATGCTAGGATGCAACCCCTCAGGCTCTTTACAGGGGCCTGCAGTGGCGTTACTATTCTGAGCCCTATCCCCACTCAGACAGTGGTGCTCCCAGCAAGGAAACCTAGTGTATGTCACAACTGTGACTCCATACGTGTCTCCTGGTTGGATACTCGGTCCATGAGTGCTGTCTACAGATGAGGGGCAGATGCCTGGCTGGCCCTCAGGGAGCCCACAGCCACCTGATTGAATACCTTTTGTTCTCTTCAGTGGGCTCCTGAGGGTTCATGGCCGCTGCTTTATTCTAACAACATTATTTCTTTGAAGCAGAAGAGATCATTTACCAGCGGGACTCGAGTCTGGAGCCCTGTTCTTCACTCTTATCTCAGTTTGTAGCTGTGGGATCAAGGGCAAGTTTGCTTTTCTGAGCTCCTGTTTCCTCCTCTTTAAAATGGTGCCCGGCCTGTGTGGCTCAGTGGTTGAGCATTGACCTATAAACCAGGAGGTCACGGTTCGACTGGTCAAGGCACATGCCCAGGCTCCATCCCCAGTAGGGGGCATGCAGGAGGCAGCCAATCAATGATCCTCTCTCATCATTGATGTTTCTATTCTCCTCTCCCACTCCCTTCCTCTCTGAAATCAATAAAAGTATATTTTTAAATGGGGGTTAACAGAGCCTAACCCCAGAGGTGTCCTGAGAATAAAGTGGGTTGGCACATGTGGGAACATGCTCAGGAGAGTTGGAAGGTACAGACTGCCCTTCAGGATCTCTGAGCATTTGAAAAAGGCAGAGCTGCCTACTCCGCCCCCCCCCCCAACCCCATCCCTTTTTTAATAACAAAAAAGTGAAGCAAGTACAGACTTCCCCGAGGGAAGGGAGAGCAGTGAATACATGAAACCAACATGCAACATCTCTGCTGACTGGCAACTAGAGAGATGTGGGCTTCAGAGTAGATGCCAAGCTCTTCCTGCCTCCTGCTGAGTTTCTCAGGCTTGCAGTGCCTGTGAGATCCGTCTTTGGTCTCTCGCTCACGCACACACAATCAGAGCTGATGGACCAACACAGATCCCCTTTTGGACCTGTGCTGATGATTTCTGTATTTGACAAAGTGTACGGCCCCTCATGAAGTATTCGGTCCCTCTAAACCTCAAGGCAGCCTCTCCCAGAATTTACGTTGGACACAAAGTGACACTTGCTATGCTAAGGAATGTGTGAGATGGGCTGCCATGGAAGAAGAAGGAAGATTAGCCTCACCCCGATATTTAAATTACAAAACTGAGGTCTTCAGCAATATAGAAAACACTGCACTTGCTCAGCAAACTATTTACCTACAGTGCCAAGAAGCAAGGCTGCAGCGGTCCCAAGCAGGGGGCCCCCATCCAGAGATGTCTGCATGCAGATTCACTTGGCAGGGGCTGGTGAGGAAATGAAACTTGGCCCGGATTCAGGAAGGACAGTAACAATGATGGTGAAAAGGGTGGGTTAGGAAAGAACTAAAGGTAGTTTTACTTGTATAGTTTGCATAGCCCAGTAAGGAAAACAAACAAATAAATAGGGTTTGGCTGCTATGGATGGGATCACAGTCAGATGGAGGGATGACTGGTTCAGGACAGTCTACCAGAGATGCTGGTGGACCTCTTTCTCTGTGGAGAGGCCTGTCCCCACTTCTTCAGCCCCCTAGTTCTTTGTTTAGAATACAATTACATCCTCAAACTCTGCTCTGGACACAGGGCTTCCCAAAAGAGGCAGGGGCTGTGTCTTCATCATTTCTCACCCCCAGGGCGTGCTCCAGTGACCACCACAGGATAGGAACACAGAAGGAAAAGGACGACCACCTTGCCTAAGCCTTGCATTCCCTCCAAGTTCATTAATGGGAGCCATGCCAGAAATCTATGGAATTGTTCCTGGAAAGCAGGATATCAAGGGCATCAGAACCTGACAACAGAACCCAGGAAATCTAAATGCCCAGCAACAGATGACTGAGTGTAACGGCCATGGAGTCAACTGTTTGTTCTCAGCAACATCCCTAGTGCATATCCTGAATGGAGAAATGGACAGACATACAAATACACATGAATCAGGAGCCATTTTAGAGGAAGAGTCAAAAAAAGGTCAGAGGTGGGGAAAAAGAAGACAGAGGAGCAAGACAGAGGACAAGCTGCTCCGATCCCCTTCTAATCCTGTGGGCCACACCTTTTGGAGGAACTGTCAGGACACTGCAGATCTGCCTCCAGCTGAACCACTGGTGAACTCATGCAGACACCCTAGAGCTGCAGCCATATTGAAAAATCCAAGAGCTGGCTGTGGTCAGCCCTTATCAGAGGTCTCTACTGGCTACTAATAAGACTGAAGAGAACCTCAGCTGTGTGTCCATACCTCACAAATGACAGGTAAGCTTGCTGGTCTGCACATGTACCAGTGAGTATGGACAGTTAGCTGAGCTCTGAGGAAACAGGGCCACAGCTATGGGCCAGCCATGCTACTCTATACCCAGCCAGGTGTACTAAAAATGAGACTGCCAGATCATGAGGAGCCAGCTGAGAGGTGTGGATGGATTGTCACAAAGCCAATACCACTCAGCACACACCATGTGCCCTGGAAACTGTTGCTTAGATGCCTCCAGTGATCCCTGTCCATAAGTTCTGGCAAAATAATGTCCTGAAAACACATCAGAGTTAGGTACAGGTGTGTG